GCTGGTCCGGGCCCCTCCTGCTGCTACGTTCAGGGGCTGGCAGCCCCCTTGGTGACTCCTGGGGATCTGCCCCAGAGCTGGGCCCTGGGGAAAGGGGGGCGGGGAATGAGCCCTGATTGGCTTGGATCTCAGTGAGCAGCCACTGCTGCTACGTTCAGGGGCTGGCAGCCCCCTTGGTGACTCCTGGGGATCTGCCCCAGAGCTGGGCCCTGGGGAAAGGGGGGCGGGGAATGAGCCCTGATTGGCTTGGATCTCAGAGAGCAGCCAATCAGGTTGCTCGGCAGGTGGGGCTCATCCCCCATTCTACACCCCAGGCCATGTGCTGCTGGCTGTCCGGACCCCAGGGGCAGGGCCAAAGGGGCTCCCCGCACAGGGCCAGCCAGTGTCCTTCTGTTCTTCCCAGCTGCCCCGCTGCCCCCAGGACACGACCGGCACTGGGCCCCCATCCACAGCATGGCATCCCAGGCAGCCGCAGGGCCGGGCGGCCGGCCCATCGGGCCCCAGGGGAAACGGGACAGAGCTATGGAGGATTTGTTCAACACCTTCGCTAAGACAGGTGGGTATCTGCTCCCCCCGGTTCCCGCCCCCTCTTCTCGGACCAGCCCTGGGGGGCGTGGCAGGGTCAGATGTGGGCCTTGCACCTCTAGGGGCTGGAACGGGGGTGGGGTGGTCTGGACCCACTGGCTTCCAGTGCTGTCCATCAGATCCAGGGCTTCGGGGCCTTGAATGGCTCTCTGCACCCTGGGGACACTGGTCCAGCCGCCTGCTTGCACCCCCGTTTACCGCAGCGTCTCCGAGACCAAATGTGGCCTTGGCCGGGATCGTGTGCCGTCTAAAGCGCCTCTGGGGGACTCCAGTCCCCGTGAGGCCAGGGCAGGACCCTTCCGGGGCGCGGGCTCTCGTCGAAAGGGAATGGCGGTTTCTCGGGGGCCGGTCCGTATCCTCGGCGCTCTGCCCAGGGGCCCAGCAGCAGGACTCACACGGGGTGGGCTAGAGGGGAAAGCTAAGGGGGAGGAGCGAAAAGACCCTGACAAAGCGGATTCCCAGTGCTCCCGGAGGGGGCGGGGGTCGTGCAAGGAGCTCTGGGGCTGACGGACGTCCTGAGGGGCGGCCTCCCGCTGGAGCCTGCATTTCCCCTTTGCCTTTGCCCGTCGCCAGAGGATGGGGAGAGCACTATAATGAAAATCCCCGCGCCGTTCGACTTCACCCTGCGCGACACCAGCCAGAAGGTCGTCCGCCTGAAGAACAACAGTCT